CTGGGGTACCTGGCGGGGGGCGCGGCCCCGCGGGGAGGAGCGGCTGCTCAGGAGCAGGAGCTGGCTGACGTAGCAGGGGCTCCGCGGCTCTGGCCCGGCCAGGTCTGCGGGGAAGCGCACCCGGACGGCGCCCAGGCTCTGCAGGGAGCTCCGAGGGTGGCGATGGAGCCGCGCGTGGACCTCCGTCCGCCCTGTGCTCAGGTGGAGCTGGTGCTGGCCCCCGGGGGGCAGGCAGCCCTGCAACAGCCCCGGCCAGACGCTGACGGGCGGGGTCAGCCTCCGGGTCAGGCGGAAAGGGCTGGGAAGGCCCCGGGAGGGGGATAAGCGGGGACGGAGGAGACACGGAAGCTTCCGGAAGGAACCCATTTAACCCCCATGGTCCCTGCAGCGGAAACACACGAAGTAACCGCCGTTTCCGCAGCAGGGACCCGCCAGCAGCTGCTCTTCGCGCTGACACGTGAGCGACCGGCCGTGTGACTCCCACGTTCCTCGGGGGGCAGTTTCCACGTCCCGCACGGAAACCCACCCAAGCCCGTGTTTCCCAGGAGGGCAGTGTACCCCCAGCGCGTCCGAGATGACCTGGGCCCCTTCCTCCAGCAGGCGGCCCCAGCTCCTCCACGGATGGTGGCCCGTGACCTCCAGGACCCCGGACGCGAGGAGGACCAGTCCCCGCACCACGGCGCACGCGGGGAGCCGGCGGGGGGCCAGCAGCGAGCGGGCGTGTCCGAGGATGAGGGAGGCGCTCGCGAGGCTCAGCTGCGTGGAGACAGCGGGCGATGAGGCGGTTCTCAGGCTCGGCCGCCCCTCCCGTCGCCTCTGGGGAGTGAAACCACCAGCCAGGGCTCCGGGTTCGAGTCCAACCTCACGGGGGACAATTCACTCCCGAGTCAGTCCCCTGACCCGTGAAATGACCCGAGAAGAACGAACGGTCTCTGCAAAGTAACCTCCCTTCAGTCAACCTGCCGGGGCCACTTGCTGGAGAAAGTCGCTCGGAACTGCGAGCGTCACCTTCTGTCTAAACCGAACCCGCTGCGGTGTCCAGGCTGCCGAGCCGGGAAGTCCCTCCCGGGGACGCGGGCGAGTTCCTAGGGAAAGTCCTCTCTCCAGCCCGAGTGTCAAACCTGCCCGCGGGGCTCGCTCCTCCCGGCTGACCGAGGTCCCCAAATGCAGGGGAACCCTGGACGGGGACTCACCCTGCTGGGGAAGCGCAGGAGGCCCCGCAGCACACGGACAGAGTCGGCCACTTCCTCCTGACCCGCGGAAACGCCAAACCCGGGAAAAGACAGGCGGGAGAGAGGGAGTCAGCGCGTCCGTCTGTCGAGTGAACCGGCCGGGCTGGTCCAGGAGCCTCGGGAGCAGGCGAGGGCCACGCATGCGAGGAGCGCGGCCGGACACCCGGTCTCAGCGCCGGGTGATTGTGTGTCACAGGCCGGGCGGCCGGCTAGCGAGTCTCAGTCCTTGCTGCACAGACAGACTTACGGACACAGAACTCGCCCCGCCCGGGGGATCCCGGCCGTACCTGGTCCCGGGAAGCTAATCCGCACACTGAAGAAATGAGCGCGTCCTGGAAGCGCGCCCACTGGCCGCAGGAGGGACCCCCGCCCCCCTCGGCCCAGCGGCTCAGGGCCGCGGCCGTCACGGCGACGTAGTTCCTGATTTCCGCCTCGCGGCCCATCAGCTGCAGGGTGGAGAGGTGTCTCAGGCTGGAATTGTACCTGAAGGGGACAGAGGTGCCAGGGTCGCCCAGCACACTCGGGACGCTTCGGCCCGTCCGCCCGAGCGTGGTCTGCGCCACGGAAACTCCTCTGGGTGGGTCGGGGCGGAAAGGGAACGACTCAGAGAAGAGCCGGTCTGTGCAGAGGAAATGAAAAGGCACAGGGAGGAGGGACATCGAGATCCCATGAAAGGCCTTTATCAGAACCGCGCGGGGACCGGGAGCCACAGGGTGACGCAGAAACATGGCAGGTGAAGGGAGGCGGTGCCGAGCTCGGCAAGGAGACACAGCGGCCCCCGAGCACGAGCGTGAAGCCCGAGCAGACGTCGGGGACCCGGCGGCAGGGCCCGGGCCCCACCGGGGACACAGACGGGCCTCACTCACACGTCCTCGCCGGGGCAGGGGTCCCCACGGACACGGGGCAGCACCGTCACGGCCACGGTGCAGGGCTGCGTCCGGGAGCCTTCGCTGTCGGTGATCACGGTGGACACCAGGACTGGAAGGGACAGGGCGGGGAGGGTCAGCGGCCCGTGTTGGCGGAGACGCGTCTCCGAGCGCCAATGGCAACGGAGATGGGAGGTCGGGGGACAGACCTCTGCTGGCCTGTCTGTGTGCCTGGGTGGCCAAGATGCCACAGTGACCAGAACTGGCCCTGCCTCAACCTCCCTGCCCGCTCGCGAGTCCAGTCACGTTAGAAACGTTCCGAGAGCAAAGCCAGGCCTGCGGCCCAGAGAGGGAGGGGACACAGGCCTGAGGTGCAGGGTCCCCGCGGCTCTACTTGGACCAGACACGAGTGAGGACCGAGGGCAACGCCCGCCCTCCCCGCTCCTCTCGGCGGGAGACCGAGATTCGGCTCCTCTACAAACGCGGGTGTCATCAGCGAGGAAGGACAGCCTGGTCTCCATACACACAGAACGGCCCTGGCGTTTTATCACTTACATACTTCAGACGTCAGAATTTATTGACATTGATAATATTCTTTCTGCACCGAAAAGTAGGCAATCGAACTGAAAAGTGTTAAACTTGTTGGATGAGTACATAATCACTTGTGGTTTTAGTTTTTGGAAACCAGGGGAAATGTTTGGAGCCGTAAGTGAGCGTCGCCCGCGCCCAGGTCGGCGGGTGACTCACCCTGGTAGCCATCCCCGGGCTCCCCAGCCGGCAGCGAGAAGTAGTGCTGGGCGTCCGTCCCGCGGTAGAGGGTGTGCTGGGGGCCGCCTCCTATCCGGTAACTGAATTCATAGCGGAAGTCCTGCGATCGCCCCACAGGGGACAAATTTATCACCCCGACAAGTGCTCACACCCAGTCCTCACCCCGCCTGCGGGCTGGCTGCAGACGGGCTCCGGGGGGTACAACAGGCCCCCCCAGTGCACACGCAGGTGGTGACCCCCCGCCCCAGGGCCCCTCTTGTCCGTGGAGCCCAGAGGACACCCCGCGGCCGCACCGGTCACTCGGGGTTGTGGGCTCTCCCGGCCGGGACCTGGGAACGTCGCAGATGCTTCCTTGGGTGGGGGACGGGGTTGGGACGGGGGCACTTATGGGAAACACTCGGCCTCAGACGGGGCATCTGAGGGGGCAGCAGGGAGGGCCAGGGCCAGGCCTCCTGAGGATGCACACGGGGGGGACTCTAGGGGGCGGCCCCCCAGGATGTGGGACAGGGGCAGGCGTCTGTCCACACTGACAGGCTGGCCCCGTCCCCAGGAGGACGTGTGCACCCCAAGCACTTCATCGCAGAGCCGTTGTGACCTCCGTCCTCCGGGACGGACTCGGGGCTCCCGTCCTCACCGGTCTCCCCGCCATGCAGAACACGCCGAAGATGGTGTCGGCCTCGAGGCCGCGGGGGGGCTGCACCTGGCAGGCCATGTTCTCCGGGGCAGGGTTCACGGTCACGTACAGCTGAGCTTTCCCTAGAAGGCTGAGCCCCGAAGCTGCAGGGAAGAGAGAGGGCGACACCCCCCTGGGGAGACAGCAGACCCTTGCAGTCCCCAGACCTGCGGCGCTGGCGTCCCTGAGAATGCGCGAGAACTGTGACCCCTGGGCCCACCTGACCCCTGGGTCAGATGTGGGGGGCCAGGCACCTGCGTCAGGAGGTCCTCCGGGGGACTTGGTGGCACCTGGGTCCAGGACCCCTGCCGTAGGGCACCCACGGAGGTAGCGCCATTTTCTGGGTACTCCCTCACTGGGGTGGCCATGCCCGAGGCCGCGGGTGGACGAGACAGACCCGGTCCCCACCTGGGAGCCAGGCGGCGGCCTCGCCGGCAGAGCCAGGCCCAGGACCACGCGAGGGCCGCCCTGCTGACTCCACGGCTCTGACAGGGTCTCATATTAGGCTTGTATTAGCTGCGCTAACATTGCAAACATTCCCTGTGATTCCACACAGCGTTCAAAATCAGTGTCGAAAATAAATATTCCCTAGCCCTGGCCGCATTTGTCCAGTGGTTCAAGCGTCAGCCCAGAGACGGAAGGTCCCGGGTCCAATTCTGGCTCCACCCCCAGCCCGGCCGGGGCGCCTGCAGGAGGCAGCCAGTCGATGTCTCTCTCCATCCCTCCCTCCCTCCCACTCTCTCGGAGAATCAGTGGGAAAATATCCTTGTTGAGGATTTAAAAAAATAGTAATAAATAAATAATAAGTGTTCTCTAAAACGCGTAACTGTTCCTAACGGCTAAGGTTTTATTTTCCATTTTCTGCTGCTGTTAACTACCCACAGTGACGATCCTCATACATGAAGCTGTTTTTCACTTTCGATGTCTTTTTCTTGGGATAAATTACCGGCGTGAGTTACAAGAGTTAAACTAACACGTCGCCGGGGCTGGCGCTCACCCTGACAGCAGGCCCCTCCCCGGGCGCCACGTACCCACCGCGGCCTGCAGGACGTACGTCCCTCCGGGGCTCAGTGAGTACGGCTTCACCGTCAGCGTCTGTCCCGTGACCCCTACCGAAAAGGAGGGCGGCAGGGACCCCTGGTCAGGACACCCGAAGGACGGTGGGCCAGACACACCCCTTCAGGGTGGCGGCTGAGGTCCTCCAGTCCAGGAGCAGGTGCAGGACACAGGGAGGGGCCAGTGTCCGAGCCTCTGGAACAGCTTGGGGTTCAGGGCAAGGGGGGCTCATACCGGACGACGTGTAGCCACGGAAGACGGCTCGGCTCACGGGGGACTTGGGCCAGTCGACCAGGAGCGCGGGCCCGGCGCCGGCCGTGGGGAGGAAGGGGCCCACCAGGTTGTCCCCAGCACCACGGCTCTCGTCCGCTCCGGCACTTTGTCCTGACCCTGGGAGGTGGAAGCTGGTCCCTGGGAGACAGGCCAGGCCGATCACGGGTAAGACGAGAGTGGTCATGGTCTAGAAGCGGTCATGGCTCGGGGCGGGATCAGTACTATTTCCGCCATCTCTGCGCCCCGCTTGTCTAAACGTCTCCGGCTACACGTGGCCGAGGGGAGGCGGGCGAGCAGACGGGAGCGGGGATGGGACTCGGGCTCCAGGAGAGAGGCCACACCCCAGACTCACAGTCACCCGGCTGCCGGCCTCCCGACGACACTGCTTCTTGGATGTCACCGTAATCAGCTTCAACACCTGCACAGGACAGAGCGAGAGCCTGCATGGAAACCAGACTCCCCTGAGCGCCCCATGGCCCCCGAGGGAGCACACGCGTCGGCCCTGGGCTGGCTCGGGGCCCGAGCCTCGCTCTGTGGACACAAACCCCTCGGAGGTGTGCTCGGTGCATCCAGACAGAGGGGAGGCTGCGGGGAGAGAAGTGCCACTGACCCCCACCCCCAAACCGCTGGGGCTCCACGTGGTTAGTGGGGGGGAGGACAGACACCAAGGCCCAGGACTGTCCTCTTGGGGACAGGCTTCGCTCTTGTCTCTCACAGGAGAAACCAACAGGAGCCTTTCTGTCCCCAGGCTCTTCCCTCCCCGTGTCTGAGGGATTCATGGAGGCCCTCCTGCCAGGGACCCCCCGAGGCTGGGACTCTGGGGTGCAGTGGCCTTTGCCGGGGCTCAGGGCTCAGACAGCACCGTCACCTGCCCGTGGCCGTGAGCAGCCAAGTCGAAGGGCCTCAGGGGGAGGGACAGCAAGAGGGGCGGGTGGGTGCTGGGCCGGAGCCTAGATCACTGACAGTGGACGTCTCTCAACATTTAGGCACAGAAACAGCTTCTGTCCCACCTGAAAACTGACGACACAGCCTCCACGGTCATCGGGGAAGGAAGGGCAAGGAGGGTGCTGGGCACAGAGCCTGGCTGCAGCCCAGCTGCCCCGTGTCCCGGGTCAGAGAGAGGAGAGAGGCTCCGTGGGCACCCCCACGAGCAAGGGTGGGTGCCCGGTGAGGACCACGCGGAGGCGGTTTCACCCCTAAACCACTGGGGGCAGCACTTACCAGGGGGGTGATGGGTCGGGCTCCCCGGGGGCCCCTTGTCCCAGGGATCGCCGTCTGGGGCCTTGGTGTCACCAGCAGCAGGAATGTGGTGCACGGTGACCGTGAACTCCGTGGAGGTTCTCCCCGTGGCTGAGAGGTCAGCCCGGCCCAGGGTCCCTGGCCACGGCTCCCACGAGGACGGCACAGGTGTGACACGGGGCTCAGCCCCTAGTGGCCCCGGGGACAGTGGGTAAGACTCTGATAACTTCGACGTGGCCGCCAATCCCGAGGAGCCCAGGAGCCCCACAGCTCTGCAAAAAGGAACTTAACAAAGATTTCACAGCATTAAAACTCGGACAAAGAAATACGCTTGGTTCCTCAGAGTGCACAGGACCTCACCTCCCTGCGAAGTCTCAGGACCCACATTTTCTACCCAAGAAAGTGGAGTCTTGGAGACGCGCTCCAGTCACAGCTGGAGTGCAGAGGGAGGACCACCTTCCGCGGCTACTCTCCTGAGTCCCACCGTGTGGCCCGAGGACAGCGAGACCGGCAGGACCATGGCCCAGGAGAGCGGCCCTGGCCTAGGTTATTCCAAAGCGCTCGGTGCGTTTGTAAACCCGCCCCGGCGGGTACGGCGCAGCCCCCGGCTGAGGGCAGCCTCTGAGCCGCGTCTTCTCTGTCGTCACAACCTGAGCGTGAGACCAGGAGGGGCCCGGGACCTGACAGCTCCCGGCCAAGACCAGATACACTGGGCCAAACAATTAGGTTCAGCAGACTTTTAGCATCTCATAAGAACTGTTTGCTCAGCCCCACAAAACGAAGCACTGCGGCCGGTACCTTCCTCTGCGTCCCTTCCCGTCGCGTTGACCAAAAAGAGGTCCCAGGAGTAAGAGAGCCGGGCGGCCTCCCCGCAGTCCTCGCAGGCCGCCCGGAGCGAGAGACCCTCGTTCCAGTTCACAGGGAGGCCTCTGAAGGTGACCCAGGAGATGCTCACGAGCCTGCAACCGCACACGGGAAACGGGTTCAGGGACGCAGCTGCGGCTCTCCGGCCCGTCTTCCGGGTCAGGTTTGCTCAGATTGCCCTCCGTCGGGCCTTTGTTATGCGGATCAACAGCAGAATAACAGCCCACAGGGCCCAGCACCCCTGGGTGGCCCAGCCTGCACCCACTCCACCCAGCAGGACCTCCTGTGACACCGCCTAGAACAGGGGGCGGACGCCCCACCACACCCCATGGAGCTCAGGAGGCTGTGAGGCTTCCTCCAGGAAGCCTTCCGGGGCTCACCCAGCCCAGGCCGTGACCACTTGTTTTTATACAAGACGACAGTAACTGCCCAGACCCTCTCAGGGTCCACTGATGGAGGCAGCCCTGCCCGCCCGGGGCCTGCCAGGTGTCCTGCGGAGCTGTGGGCACTCAGCGGCAGCAATCCCCACCCACGGGGGGGAGGGGGCAGAGCAGCTGTGGCACATGCCAGCCTGCGTTCGGGGTCTGGGGCTGGGTGTGGCCCTCGGGTACGACTGTGGCCTCTGTGGTCCGAGCTCCCTCAGCCTTGCCCAGTCTCGACGTCACTCTTGGAGGGCAGGTGCCTCCCACCTGTGGGCCCGTCTGCCCAGAGGCACCTAGAGGTCACGGGCAGAGGCCCTGAAACACTTGGACTCCTCCTGGCCCCGGCCCTGGGCCCTGGAGCTGACCCCATCGCAGGCAGCTGCTACGACGTGAGGGGCCCCACTGTCAGTGCGGCAGGGTCAGGGCCGGAGCCCATGAACTGCACGCACAGCGGGTTTCTTTGGTGGCCCCCAGCCCCGGCCAGCGTGGGGCACCCAGGAGGAGCCCCCGGACGGGCACTTTGGGGCCGACAGGGCAGGTGGTACCTGCGCTCCGGGTCGTGGAGGGTGGACAGGAACACCTGTGCCTCCGAAGAGTTCCGGCCGTGGCTGGACACTGTCAGCGTCACGAGAAACTGGTCATAGCCGCTGCTGAGAGAGTCCGCCGGGAAGGACAGGGTGGGAGCCGCAGTGTCCAGGCTGCGTGCAGAGGGCCCGGAGAAGCAGAGGCGCCCGGGGGTGCTGGCTGGGGTGCACGTCCAGTGATACCTGCGGGGCAGCATTGGAGGGGCTGACCCGCCTGCTCCGGTCAGTGGCCATGATGTCACCCAGTGGCTTTCCTGGGGGTGCTGCCAGGGAGCACGTGGGCGGTTTTCACACATGCACGTTCCAGGTTATGAGTGGGGGCAGCGTCCATGGAGGGCCCGTGCTTGGGGTTAATGGGGTGTGGACAGTGTCCACATCGGGACACTGGGTTAGGCCACCCGGGGGGATTGGGTGGAGACAAGACCAGGGCCTGAGCCAGAGATCCAGTGTCGAGGGACCAGCCCCAAAGAGACGCGCTATCCTCGGGAACCCAGCCTCCTGCACCGCCAACAACCTCACAGACCAGGTGTTTTAGCAGAAAATAGCATATTTGCTGTGGACTGAATGCCGGTGTCCCCCAAGTTCACGTGTGAAATCCTGACCCCGCAGGGACGCTGGGAGGAGGCGGGGCCTTTGGGTGGTGAGTAGGTCATGAAGGGGAAGGTGTCACGAAGGGGACTCCTGTCCTCAGAAAGACCCCGCAGAGCCCCGGATGCTCACCTGAGAGCCGCCCCAGGCCTGTCGGGGTCATAGGACAGGGACCCCCTGAGGAGGACAGTGGACGAGGGGGTCCTGGGGATGAACAGGTGTGTGCCCTCGGAGATCACGCTGACGGGGGCCCGGGCTCGCACCTCCACGGCCACACAGTAGTTGCTGTGCACGGGGCTGCCTTCCACCTGCACCTGGAACGCCGACGACAGAGGGTGTCAGTGAGGGCAGCAGGGTGCTGGCCGGGGCTGGACACTTGTCTTAGCACCAGAAGGAAACTGGTGAGTCCACATGTGTCAGCAGCTCCCACCAGGGGCTCAGGTGCTGCACAGAGAGGCTTCTTTCTTCTCAGCCCCCAGCCAGGCAATATAAGCACCTACTGGGTGCCGGCTGGGGACAGAGAGGCTGGAGCTAACGGGAGCAGGAGCGTTTTCTATCCACATCTGTGTCAGCACAAAGCTGGGGTTCTGGTCTGTGGACATGACACCACCTCAATATTCCTGGGCCTGTAACCTGCTGTCAGTGGTAAATTTTTCCATGGTCTCAAATTTTGTTTAGCTTTCCCTTGTTTAAGCTCCCTTTCTGGACCCCAAACCTATTATGGACTTAGAGACATGCCAATGGTATTTAAGAGAGCCCCTTCCCTGGAGCAGACAGGTGTGGGGTCTCAGGGGTCTCAGAGGCTGGTGGGAAGGGAGGGTTTGCTCGCTCAGGTGCCGTGGTCCCCCCACCTTGGCCAGCGCAGTGTAGTTCCCGGGCTCCAAGAAGTAGCCGGGGATGGTGACGGTCCGCCTGTGAGTGCTGGCGGCAGGGGGCAGGGGCACCTGCGACCCCGTGGAGTCCGTGAGGCTCCAGGTGTAGGAAAGGCCTTGGGAGATGTCGCAGAGAACGGCCCCGTCAAAGGTCACCCCCAGGGTCACAGGCTGAGACCTCCACACCTGCGCATTGAGAGAAAGGTTCTCGTTAGATGTGAGTCAGCCTGTCCCAGAGGAAGTGACGACAGACATGTACTCCACGCAGAACCCCAACTCTGTCTGTGTGATCACAGGACGGGGGCCTCCGGGCTGGAACCAAAGCACTGAAATGAAGACGAGAAAAGTAAAAGGGCAGAATGTAGGGTCAGTGAGGAGGAAGAAGAGGCATAAACTCATATGAGAAAATATCAAGGGAAAAGGTTAATAGGTTTGATCACATAAAAGTTTTAAACTTCTGAATATCAAAAATATAATTTAGAAAGCAACCAGGGAAAAAGGAGAGTCGTGTGCAAAGTGCATGACAGGGTTAATATAACTGAAAATCTTCAAAGTCCCCTGCAGAAAACCGAAAACTGAACAGCCACGAATCAGCAAGTCGACAATATAAATTCCTACCTTATTGTACGGTTTTGACCATGAAATTATGTAAATGTTTTATATATTCAAAACTTCAATGGAAGCAAAGAGAAAAACACACAATATCTGACCACTGGAAACAAAGAACACAACCGTATTTCAAACAAGTAACACAGAATAAAGATGTATTTCAAGTGTCCTTAATATACAGTATTTTGAGGACCTAGTCTGAGGGCAACAAGAACTTCAGATAAAGCTGAAAGCTCACTGAAAAGTTTTATTTCCGGTGCTAATGTTGGTATTGTTACTCTGAAAGTATTTTACATATTTATTAGAAAAATTCTGATAAATACTTGCAGAGCTGAGGGGCTGTCGGCAGGGCAGGCGGGAGTTTCGAGACCTGGCCCTGGGGTCCTGGAGTATTTAGAGACAATGTCTATAGCCAGTGAAACAATGTAACAAAATATTGACTTAGACGGTCTGAGCGGATCACAGGTGCACGGCGCCCCCTGGAGGACTTTTAATGAAGAGCTCCCGTAAAAAATGAGGAAGGGAAACCCTCTAGGGTTTGGGGGATAAGATTTTAAAACACACTGGTATTTGTTACAAATGGAATTTTACCTTTGGCTTTCTTTAGTCATGATTTAAGCTACTTTAAGATTATTTGTATTGTTTCCACTCTGAATATGAAGGCGTGCTAGCATTCTTCACGAAACGTCCCAGATTTATGAGCTCATTTTAACACTGAGATGTCAATTCTCAACCCGTTAATAACAACAAACAGGCAAAACTATGAAATGCCTGGGGCGGGGGGAGAGTCGGCTCTGAGATGCTGACTTATGGGCCCAGGCTTCTCGTGGACGGAGGAAATTGTTGGGTCCTGTGGCTCCGGACTTGGAGGGATGATCCTATGGAAATGCCACAGACCCCACATGGCCCTGGCTTGTCCTGTGCTCCCTCATCTCCACGGCCACGTGGGCCCAGCGACCGCCCTCCAGGCTGGAGAGCCACAGAGAGCGGCTGGCAAAGGCAGCTCCGTCCCAGGCGTTCGCACCCATGTGCCATTTGGGCACTTTCACCCTAAAGAGGCAAAGTTGCCCTAAATCAGAAACCTCAAAGGAATAAAAGAAATAGAAAGCAACCCTGTTTTTGTAACCCATAGTAGGTGCTCACTAAATAACTGACAATCTCTTTTTATTTTGATATCACATATATTCGAACATCCCCTCCTCCTGAAAACACTACAGTTCTCAGCACGAGCAATTTATAAGAAGCCTCTCAAGGCGGACAGAGCTGAACTCAGGGTAACAGGCGAGTAAAGGACAGACTCAAAGACCAGAAACGGGGGTGTCCCTCCCTGGTGTAGGCGTGTCCCTTCCTGGGGTTCGTCACCTCCAGGACCTCTGGGGCCCTCCCAGGTGCCCCTCGTGACAGATGCAGGGGCGACCTGGACGAAGTGCCCCTCCGCGGGCTCCACCTGGGAGGAAGGCTGACAGGTGTGCAGTGACCCAGGCCTTACCTGCACCCTCCCAGGCCCCATGTTCTTCACCGGGGGCGGCTGGCAGGGCCTGTGGACCACGAAGAGGCGCTTCCTTAGGGAGGCGGCGCTGACGGCGTTGAAGGCCAGGACCTCAACCATGAAGTCGCCTTCCCTGGAAGAGACAGGCACAGACATGAGACCTGATTCCGCCAGGGTCAGCGGGCCCTTCATCGTCACACCGTCCGTTTCTCACAGCGTGAGGCCATCTCCACAGAGGCCACTGTCACCCCAGCACAGGCCAGGACAGGCACCGAACCCCAGCCAGACGTCACCTGCTGTGCGAGAAGCAGGCACCCACGGGGGACACACTACCTCCCTCTCTGGGGCCCTCCTGGCAGCACAGCCTGGCCCTCTGTCCGCCTCAGGGGTGTCCTCCGGTCCCTGACCGATGGGCACCCAGACCCGTGACGGGGGCCTCTGGACAGGCCCTTCCCGCTGTTTCCCGTCTGGGGAGGTGAGGCCGGCCCAGGGCGGGGGAGGGGTCCGGCTGTGGGAGATGGAAGGCCTGGGATGGGTGTGGCCGGCAGGCCCTGGCCGGGCAGGTCATGTTTGCTACGGAAATGCATGTTTATTCTGCGGATGATGCACGTGGACAGGTGGACAGGGGTTCAGGACAGCTGGGCTTGGAGCAGGGCAGCCCATCAGAGGACCTCAGTCGAGCATGGGGGGACCACGAGGGTCACCTGCATCCTGGAGCGTGAGAAGGCAGGTCCTGCTGACTGGCACTCACCTGCTGTACACGTGGCTGGCAGAGCTGTTCCCCAGGCCACTGGCGCCATCCCCGAAGTCCCACAGGTAAGCAACGTCGGTGCCGAAGTTGATTCTGCACTCGAAGGCCACGGTGGCGTTCACCAGAGCCGAGGGGACGGCCGCGAGCCGGCTGGGGACCACCCTGCTCTGCACCTGGACGTGGAGGGGCTCCGAGGCCACACAGCTGATCCCGTTGGAAGCCTGGACCACCACGCGGTACCTGCAGCCGGGCCGGGGACAAGAGGGACAGGTGGTGACCAGGGCCAGCTCAGAGACTCCGCAGTACTTTCCAGAAAGGGGGGGCTGGCGTCCATCTGCAGGAATTACCAGAGTGCCCAGGGATTCACAGCTTGCTGGGGACAGGGGGTGATACTGTGACCTCCCCCTTCACTGTGTAGTGTACCCCTCCCAGCCACGGCGAGCGCCGTCACCCTTCCTCACAGGAGGAACTTGCTTAGGCCACGGCGGCCACGGAACGGCACCTGACCTGGGACTGCCTGGTTCCGCCACCACCCCGCCACGTCCTTTAGATCCACGTTTGTGTCCAACCCACAGGAGTGCCAGGTGGCACTAAGAGTGAGGGTGACACTAAATCATTTCAGGGGCAGCTGACATCTCGAGATGGTGCTGGGCCTGAGCCACGGCCGCTGCCCGTGGTCACCACCGTGCACGCACCACCCGGGGACACGGAGTCTCCTCCTGACGCTGCTGCGCGTGGTCCTCACTGGGGGGTCTTCTCCGAAGAACCACGTGAACTCCAGGGGAGTGGTTTCCTTGGTAACAGCCACGAAAGTGATGTCGGCGTCGGTGGCAAACACAGTTCCGTTCGTGTGGACAGAGATGGCTGAAGGGGGAAGGAGGGAGGGACAGCTGGGAGCCTGGGATCCGCCGGGGAAGTCGAGTCCCCCCCGTCCGGCGTGGTCATGGCCCTGAGTGGGCCAGGCGCTGTGAGCCTGAACGCGGGGTCCTACTCGGGGCAGCCGTGGGAACCTGGGGGGCACTTGGCCGGAGCTCATCATGAGCCCGGCCCCTCCGCCGACTCTGCCCGGAACCCACCCCCTGCCGACGCCCTCAGGGCTGTGGTTCCCGGAAAAGCCCTCGGCCATCCGCAGGCGAGCGCTGGCTCCTTCAGGGCAAGCGGGGCCCCGGCAGAGCTGGCCGCAGACCTGGAGCCCCCCGTGGCCTTTAACCTCAACTGGCCGCGAGGAGGTGTCGTCAGACCTGGGACTAGAATAGAAGGTGCGCTGCATCCGGTACCGAGCGGCCTGGCTGGGCCCGGGCCGCCCCTGCCCCCCGCGGGCCCGAGAGGCAGGGGACCCGTTCCAGACGCCCGTGGGCGGGAAACGGTGCGAGACGGGGCGCCTGGAACGACAGCGGGAGGGCAGAGGAGACAGCGTCCGAGCTGCCTCCNCGGGCTAGAATAGAAGGTGCGCTGCATCCGGCACCGAGCGGCCTGGCTGGGCCCGGGCCGCCCCTGCCCCCCGCGGGCCCGAGAGGCAGGGGACCCGTTCCAGACGCCCGTGGGCGGGAAACGGTGCGAGACGGGGCGCCTGGAACGACAGCGGGAGGGCAGAGGAGACAGCGTCCGAGCTGCCTCCCCCGTCCCCCACGCGCCTGTTTCCCGGGCTTGGTCCGTCACGGCCCGCGGCCAGCGGCCGGCTTCCTCCGAAGTCCCCCAGAAGACAGCGAAACGGCCGCTCCTGCCCCNCCCCGGTCCAGATGCCCGTGGGCGGGAAACGGTGCGAGAGGGGGGCCTGGAACGACAGCGGGAGGGCAGAGGAGACAGCGTCCGAGCTGCCTCCCCCGTCCCCCACGCGCCTGTTTCCCGGGGTTGGTCGGTCACGGCCGGCGGCCAGCAGCCGGCTTCCTCCGAAGTCCCCCAGAAGACAGCGAAACGGCCGCTCCTGCCCCGTGAGCTCCTTGTATCAGGACACACGTCACCCCCGGGGGACAAAAGGACGCCTGACGCTGTTTCCTAATCACAAGCACGCTCTCCCACGACTCTGAGGCTGCCCTGACCGAGTGTGCTTTGCGGGGGCCGCGTGTCGGCCTGGGACAGGCCACTCCGTGGGGGCCCTGAGGGGGGCTGACAGCGGTGGGCAAGGACATGGGGCGGCCACGGTGCCCTGGCGGCTCCCGCCCGGCTGCGTCACTTGGTGTTTCACTGGGATCCCCCTCTTGCCCCAGGACGGTGTGTGGCTCAGTATTTACCTGGAGGAGAAACGGACCCAGAGGGCAGGGCGGCTGTGACTGAGGCTGGGGGTGGGGTTTGGGGGGAGCTGGGAAGGGCCCCCCGCGGGGCTCGGGCTCGGCGAGTTTGTGTGAATCCCGTTTCCCACGACTCTGCTGGTTGGGGGACGCTGCCGGCTGGTGGGTCAGCAGAGCCGGGCCCTGCAGAGCGTGAAGGCGCCGCTGGGCCTGACTCACAGCCTCCTGCCGCGGCCCGGCCCCCCCAG